CCGGTATTAATTCAAAATAAACAAGTTCTCTTCAAGTTCCCCTCATTTTACCCAGAAAATCCAAAAAATAATGGACGAGGCAATTACTGGTGCTATACTCTTCTCTTTTGGATCTCTTGCCGACACTACCAAGCTTAATAATAAAATGAAAAGTGCAATTATCAAAGCATTTGGACGTTTTCCACAAATCCAATTTCTTTGGAAACTTGACAGGGATACAATAAAAAATTTGACAAAATTGCCAAATATTCATACTTTTGAGTGGCTTCAACAGCCTGCAATTTTGGGTTTGTATTACAATTGTAAATTTGACATTAAAGGATTCAAGTTTATTATTCTTAAGATTCAAGTTAGTTCTTAGGATTCAAGCTTAGGATTCAAGTTTATTATTCAGTGTATTTTTACAATTTATTTTTGTAAATTGACCGTATTTCCTTTAATAATTAACCCAGGTTGTTATTGTTCAAACTCTTGGTAGAGGAAGTAATTCAAAATTTGAAAATGAAATTGGTCAATTGATAGAGAGTAAATATTTTTTAAACTTCTTCCTAAATGAAGGGGGGGGGGGTAATTAATAGAAAATAATAGAGGAAATAATTAATTGAGAAAATATTCTAGCAAAAAGTACAATTTCTCATTGTAAAACAAGTTTATTTAGTTCCTACTGTTCACATCCCTTATACTAGTTCATATAAACTACAATTTAATTTTTAATATTCTAGGACACCCCAACCTTCGTGCATTTATCTCTCATTGTGGCCAAAACAGTTTGACAGAGTCAGCACGAGCAGGGATTCCCATTCTCGGTATTCCTCTTTTCGGAGATCAATTTTATAATGCTGATGTTGCTCAAAAACTTGGTATAGGAATACAAATAGATGTTAATGAATTGAGCGGACCTAATGCTGAACAAGTACTGGTTGAGGCGATAGAAAGGGTATAACAGGGAGAGAATCAACTTTTAATGAGTTCAAAATTCCAGATTCTCTACCAACCTAAATACCAACAAAACGCCAAAATAATATCCAAAAAATTAAAATTAACTCCATTCAGCCCAACAGAAAGACTTGTAAAATGGGTTGAATTTGCTGCAGAATTTGGAGATTTGCCAGAACTTAATTTACCTGGAGAAAAGGAAATGAATTGGTTTGTTTATTATTCACTTGATGTTATTCTCTTCTCTATAATTGTTTTGGTTATTTTGTTTTGGGTGACATTTAAATGTTTTAAGTGGATATTATTTTTAATTGTTGATTGGTTTGAAAAAATAGAATCAGAAGAAAAGAAACAAAAATAATTATTTTTATTTTGATAATAAAATATATTTTTTTGTAATTTTTGTTTCTGAATAAATTTAATACATATTTAAAAAAATTTTTTTATTACTTTAACGTATACAGGGTGCGTAAAAAGTTCCCGGAATTTTTATAATTTCAATTATTGAGTTTAAATTTTGATTTTTACAACAAAATTTGTTGATAATCATATTTAGCACTATTTTTTGGTTCAGAAAGCATTTAGTTTACAATTATTTTTCAGAGAATAAAAGTCGAATAGCCCTCGCAAAGCTATTATCCAAAATATTTTTATGAAGCGTTTGGTCGCAGCTAGTCGGACAACATAGTAGGAAATTTTCGGAGGCATTTGCATGCGTGTATCTCAGCGGGCGGATATCATTTTGGAAATTTGTTAAGAATATTTATTTACAAGAGTCTTATGAACGTTTTGTCTGTGTAAACTTATTTTTATTTTGAAATTAAAGAAAATAAATTCATTTTGATTAAGTCCGGGAACTTTTTACGCACCCTGTACATATTCACTAAATAGAACATTTTTTAATCTGTTTGTTAAGAAAGCCTGACCGGATCCGGGTAGAAATTTTCAAGTATCCGTTAGTTCCGATCCGTCTATTTTTATAAAAATCGGGAAAAATAAATTTGTTTTGGAAAATAAATTTGAAAGTTTAAAAATTTTAATTTTGTTTAAAATAAAATTTAATTTCATTCAATATACATAAATAATAAATAATTAATTTAAGTTTAGATTGTAATTGTATTTCAAGTTACCTAATCAAGTTTATTAAACCAAGTTTACAAATTTGCTTCAAGTTTTAAAAATTCAAGTTTAGATATAAGATTGTAATTAAGTTTCTATTACAAGTTGTTTTGGATTTCACGTTTCAATTGTAATTAAATTATATATTAAGTTTATTTGTAAATTGTAATTCAAGTTTATTTATTGTAACATAAGTGATCTTCATAGAATTATAAAAAGTTTAAGTTTATTACAAATTTGTACGTAATAGAAATGTGTACTATAAACGATCTTTAAAGGAAAAAAAGTTAAGAAAAGGAAATTAACAAATTTTTTTAACCATTTTTGGATTTAATTCCAATTTTGACCTAAAATAAAGTACTTTGAGTTTAATTTTAAATTTAATTCTGAATTAACACCCTCACCCCCCCCCCCTCGCGCCCGCCGTATACACGATCACATAAATGAAAGAAAAGGAATGAATGATTTGAAATTCTTTTACAAAGGAAGTGTTTACAACTAAAAATAAATTGTGTCTTTTGTAGTCAACTGAACTGACTACATATAAATGGTCATAAACTATTGAAAGCCTAGAAAAAATCTTTACAAATTTTTTTGAAAATTTCAAAATTAAAGTTAATAAATATAGTTTTCATGGATTATAAAATCTTGTGATTTTGAATTTATTTTTTTTTCATAAATTAGCGGGTAATATTCGGATATCTCCCGCCATTTTCTACTCTACTCGATTTTTCCAAATAATATAATTTCAAATTGATGGATCATGTCTGATCGCCTATTAAAGAAGTTACGAGTCCCCTAAAACCCCGTACCCCGACACGAACCCCGAGCATATTTTGCTCCCCCGACCCGAACCCTGCCCCTAAACAATTCGCAAACCCCGTACCCCGACATACCCGCCCCCGAGCGTTCGGGGTCAAACCCTATTCTAAACTACAAAATACAAACAAACAAAAATAAATGAAAAAATCATGTTTATTTGTCCAAAAACAAGTTAAATAACCAATTAATTTATAAATGAATTAAACGCCCAAAAAGGAAAATAATTATTTTTGGAACTTGTTGATGCGCGAAAATTAATTTTTAATTGTATTTCGGAAGAATGTTTGAACTGAAAAGGAAAGAAAAAGTTGTAGTTGATTTATTGTAGACTACAAACTTGAAATTATTTTTGAGAGTATAAAAAGAGAGTCAAGTTTTACAATTTTATCAAACTTATTCTTTAAACATTCTTCTTCAAATAAAATAAAACTTCAAGTTTACAACTTCAAATTTACATTTGTAAAAATAAGCCTATTCAAATAAATAAACTTATTACAAAAATAAACTTTATTCTCAATTAAAACAACAAATTGTAAAACAAGTTTTACAAATATTTGCAACTTATTCTTAAAGCATTTTCTTCAAGTTTTGCAATTCTAACAAACTTGCTCAAAAAATAAACTTTTTCTTTTACAAATTGTAAAATAAAAATTACAAAATGTCTACTTTTACAATTAAAACATTTCTACGCCCAACAACAATGCTTGTTTTAATATTTGTATTAATTCAAGTTTGGGAGCATTCTTCTGTTCAAGCCCAATATGCTGATAGATTTACTAGTGGAACAATTTTGAATAATTTGTGGAGAAAAAGGAGAGATTTAACTGAAATTACAAATAAAAATAAAATTAGAACAGATGAGGAGGATACTGAGAATTTTTTAAATTCAAAACAAGCAAATAAACGCTGGGCAGATTTTTATACTTCTGGAACTATTTTAAATAATTTGTGGAGAAAGAAGCGAATGAGTGAAAGACAGCAATACTTAACACATCCAACATTGGATATTGAAAATTCTGAAATTAATTCTGATATAATTCCGAGATTTAAAAGACAACTATTTTATGTTGATGGATTAACCAGTGGATCTATTTTAAATAATTTATGGGGAAGAAAGAAGTAAATTGGAAAAGAGAGAGATGATTTTTAATATTTTTAAATTTATTTATTTATTTTTCTATCTGAAATATTTACTATGTAAAAAATTGAAAATAAAATTTATAATTATTCAATTTTATCAATTAGTGTTTGGAAACTTAAATATGCTTAAGAAATCAAGCTTCCAATTTGATCCGATTTGCGATTTCTTCAGCTACGATTTCTGAACTGAAAATATCACTATTTCCTCATGGATAGTGCTTTTCTGTGAGAAGAGTTAAAATTTTTGATCGCAAAATCTTTTGGAAAAATGCTGTATAATAATATAAAATCTAGTGTTTATGTCCTGAAAGAGAATTGTTTTGGGAATACAAAATCAGTATAATTTATTTTAAAATTTTGGCAATAAAAATATTTATGATGAAATAACAGATCTGATTACTTTTAAGTCTCACTGTATTTTAGTGGAGAATATTTGCTTAATTTAATATAATGGTGATCTTATAAAGCGATAAAATTGTGAATACCGTATATGCTCGAATAATTACATTGTGGTTTGTAAGGCCAAACAGGCCAAACAATTTTAAGAGTTTGGAAGTCTAAGAAGACAGATTCATTCCTTTTTCAGCGCCGCCGAAAATTTTGAAAATTTTAGAAAAATCTTTTGTTGGAAATGTGCTTTAAAAATTATCGCAAATCTTAAATTTTTTCAAAATTTCGGAAATCGGAAAGAAAAAACGTCGGAAATCTTATTTAGTGGAGAAGCCAGATTCATTCCTTTTTCAGCGCCGCGACGAAATTATCGCAAATCGGATTATCGCAAAAAAGCATTTCTTATATTTTTTGGTATAAATTGTCTCTCCCGTCCATCGTCAGATGGGGCGGTGGAGACTTTATGGTTTAAATTCTAATTTATAGTAAAATAATATTTATTAAAAAGGTTTTACATTTTTTATGACTTTCTTTTTTTATAATTTTAAATATTCTCTCAACAATTCTCGAAAATTTCTTCCCTCCTCATCCAATTAAAATTCATAGCTTCCATCTATTACCGGTTCAATCATGGCAACAAAAGCCAAATTCTCATATTTTTTGGCGTAAATTGTTTCAAAACTATCATTATAATATACATTCATTTGACCATCTTCAATATCGTTTACCTCTGATGATATATGAATTGATATACGTTGTCTCAAACTTTCCAATACTTTTTTCTCCAACTCTGAAATTTTCTTGAACATCTTGAATACACATCTTTCCTCGTTTTCTTTTCTTATTTGAACGTGGAATTGAAGCCATCCATTATAACTAATATTTAAGACATTAATGAAAAAATTCCCTGGATTTTCAAATTTTAAACAAATTTCAATGTGAGAATATTCCATTTTTTCTTCAATTTTATTGCCATTTATTGAAGTTGACTCAATTAATTTAGCTTTGCTAAAATTTTCTTTTTTCAAAACTTTTCTAGGTCCTTCCGGATTCAAAAAACATATTAATCTTATTAATTTTATTGATGTAATGAATATAAATGATTTTATTCCGTTTATGTTTATTTGGGCACCAGGATAAATAGCAGCTTTTTCTACACTTTCATTTGAAAGTTTATTTATCTCCAAATTAATTTGTGCAAAAAATATAGGTACCAATTTGAGTAATAACTTCTGAAAATGAAATATAGTCGGATAATGTACAAGAATTTAAAATGGGAGATAGTGCTATCTAATCCTAGAACAAAATTAATAACACTTAATTAAAGTGTTTAACCCTTACACAATGAATGAGCAATAAATTTTTTAATTTGCAAAATAAATTATTATAAATGAATTTTACTTTTAAAAAAGTAATTAGGTAAATAACAAGACTAAAGATTTTAAAAATTTTCGCTTGCGACGTAAAAAGGAGATTTTTGGCTTAAGGATTTTCCACAATATTTGCCTGCTTCACAAAAGCCCTAATCCAATCCAAATCCAAAATTAATCCACACAAAACCCGCCTAAACCCTTAATCCCTCGATATATATCTTAATCATCTGATTCACTCATTATCCCCTTTAATCTATCCAAATCCACCTTCTCATCAATCCCAGAATTTTCATTATATTCTATCATGCAAATATTTAATTCTATTAATTTTATAACAAATAGAACATCCTCAACCAAAATTAATTTTTTTCCATTAGTTCCATTAGTTATTCTTTTTATTTTGTGTGTATATTGGTTAGGTTCATTACACTCATAAGGCCCGGAATCTAAATAAACGTAATCATTTTTATTTTTTTCATCAATCTCGTATAAAATTTCAATTTTATACTCGCTAAATAATCCTCCAATTTTATTTACTTGCATTCTCAACAAATTTATTTTAACACTTCCATCCTCATTTTTATTATTTTCTGTAGATTCAACCAAAATTCGTTGATTATTTTGTAAATTTGAAGAAGAAAAAGAAAATAATAAAATAAATAAAAGGACAAAACATTTAATTTTATTCTTCATTTAAACTTTTAAATAAAATTATTTTTAAATTTAAGACTGATTTAGAATGTTTTTATATTCAAATTATTGTCTAGCATTTAAGATTAAATATTGAGAAATAGTTTCCTTCAAATGATTAATTCATGTGAACAGTATGTACATTAAAATTAATTATGAAATATTTAAAAGGTCTGACATCCTGTATATAGTGCATATTTTTGTACATTTTGTTTAAAAACGTATTTTGTGTTTATTTATATAAAAAATTATTTTGCACTTTTAGTCGGTATTTCTTTTAAAATTATTGAGAAATTATTTATTTATTTATTTTAAATCATTTAGATAGCCATTAAAGTGCAATAATAGAATAACAGGTCACTCACACTTTTAACACATGTCACTCTCACCAATAACACACTCTTAACTCATAACACATTCATTCATAAGATTAATCTGTTCCAAAATTATAAAGTCACCCTATTTTTTTATCATATCATATTTTTAAAAACGTCTACCCCCGGTTTTCCGTTGATTTTCGAATTTCAAGATCTCGATGATGTGATCATAACTTTAGTATTTTTTATCTATATTGATAAATATTTTCACAAAAATTTCTGTGGATTTTTCCTACTATTATAAACCTATTAAACAAAGGTAGTACAAATTTTGTTCTTTAAGGAAACTATGGGATAAGGAAACTATGGGATTAAGGAAACTATGGGATATTTGAGTATTAGGGGGATTTGATGAGATATTTGGGTAGGGTAAATTGAAGTAAATCGATAAGGTAAATCGACTAATTAATGACTCCGACTCCTCAGTTATCCTTCTTTATCATTATCACTGTTAATCCCTTCAATACAGACTTAATTATTTTGATCCCTCGTACATTTACAAAATTATATTGGCACTTCTTGAATGTTTAGAAAATCGGTAATTTAATTTTTATGTCGGCTATACCCCTGATACATACTACTTATTTAATATTTTTGACAAAATTTTGAAAAAAATTTCTTTCAAAATTTGTCGGTCTTATTTTAAAATTATTAAGAAATAAAATAATTGTCTATGAAAGTTTAACATTTATTGCTTTTAAAGTGCAATTATGAAATAGTATAATTTTTATTGGCAAACCAATTTTTCATTCACAATTTTTTATAAAACGCTGCTTGCTGACTCTATTAAATAAAATTTAAAATAAATTTAAAAAAAATGTTTTTAATTAAATTTTTATTTTTTTCTAAAATATTATTTTTAATATTTTTTGATTATTCTTTTTCTTTTGATTATAAAAATAATCAACGAATATTGGTTGAATCTACAGAAAATAATAAAAACGAGGATGGAAGTGTTAAAATAAATTTGTTGAGAATGGAAGTAAATAAACTTGAAGAAGAATATAAAATTGAAATTTTATATGAAATTGATGAAAAATATGAAAAAGAATACATTTTTACAAGTTATAATCCAAACGACTGTAGTTTTATTGACGATAATTCAAATAATGTAAAAAGTATATTTAATGGAAATAAAAGTAAAAAAATAATTTTGATTGAGGATTTCTTTTGGGATTTAGACATAACAAGAATAAATATTTGCCTGGTTCAATTTAATGATGATTCTTATAAAACGGTAAACAGAAGACAAATGCACCTACCCAGATTACTCACTACCCAATAAACCTCACTGCCTAAATCACTAACTGCCCATTTAACTACTGCTATGCGACTTCTGCCGAAATCACACAACAAGATGGAAAAGTGAGCATTCCCTTTGCGGACAGGTAGATAGCGAGCTAGACATACACCAAGATAGCAATAATCTTGTTTTTAAGAAAATTCCACGCAAAGATCCGTTAACTTTCCGAGGCAGTCTTACATATTTAGAGCCTATTAATATTTAGTGTAAATAAATTCTAGGTCCTACTTCTTAACATTTTTAGTTATTATTATTTTCTTTGTTTCCCATGTTATTTGCTCAAATAAATTTGGAGGTAAAGAAACTGTTAGATGAGAGAAGAGCAAATGCAGATGGTTACTATGATGTTGAAATCAGCATAAACGGAGTAGAAGCAATTCTTCATACAGTATATAAAAACAAATATAAATTGACAAGATTATTTTGTTTTTTGAATCCGGAAGGGCCCAGAAAAATTTTAAAAAGAGAACATTTTAGCAATGCTAATTTAATTGAGTCAACCTCATTAACAGGCAAAAAACATGAAGAGAAAATGGAATATTCTCACATTGAAATTTGTTTGAAATTTGAAAATCCTGGAAATTATTTTATTATTGTCTATGCTGATTTTAGCGTTGGATGGCTTGAATTCTATGTTAAAATTAAAAAAGCGAACTGGGAAAGATGTGTGTTCAAAATGTTCAAGAAAATTTCTGATTTTGATAAAATAGTATTGGAAAGTTTAAGACATTCCATAGAAATTTATATATTAAAAACAGTGGTAGATGATATTGAAGATGGTCAAATGAATGTATATTATGAAGGTTTTAAAAACAAATATTCTAAAATGTCATTTGTTGCCGAAATTACTCCATTGATTAAAGATGGAAGTTATGAATTTTATTTGGACGAGGATGGAATAACGAAAGAAAAAGTAGATTAATAAAAAGAAAATCAAAAAAGTGAGAAGACATTTAAATTTAATGTTATGAGGTGAACGACGATGAAATAGACTTTTATTCCTTCCATTGACGAACTAATAGGGAACGTATTTCCATGTGGTGGCTTAATAACTTTCTTCTCCAGCACTCAACCGTCCTCTAAGTTTTGTGAATCGCGCGTGGGCGTTTTGTAATTTTCCCTTTCCTTTTTACTATTTAAACCACATTTTCGTCATTTTTGCTCATTCTTAATAAATAAGCAAAAATGCATTTTGTTTTGTTTTTGCTTGCGCGCGTCTTCTCCATACTCTTTTGACATTCCATTTCTCCCAACCTTTTTGTTTACATTTTCTTTCCTCATGGCATTGAGTTGTTTATCCTTTCCCCATTTCTAATAATTTTCGTTTACTTTTCCCCATTTACTATAACGGACTGTTGTTATTATATATATATCCATTACTTTTTCCTCGCTTTTCAAATCCTCTTTCTTCTTTTATATTTCGCTTTTCTCCTTTTTAAGTTTGTGTTATTGTACGGCAATGGGTGATCCAACTTGCTAGCATTTAAAATGCTTATTAGGCGGGTGTTTAAATTATTTTTTTGTGTTATAGTCCCATCCTTGCTTCTTCCAAATTCTGTTTGTTTTATATTTTAATATTTTTTGCATGTTTTCTTTTCCCCTTTTCCCAAAACTGCCCTTATAGTCAATCTTTGTTTTTGTTTTTCTGCTTCTAGTCTTCCTTTCTTCCACTCAATTCAATTTCGCACCTGCATCTTTTATGGCATCAACTTCTTACTTCTTTTCCACCCGTTCTCTTTCCAAAATTCACTCTGCTTCCCAGTCCACAATCACTTCGAAAATTTCCATCTCTCCAAAATATTTCAATATAATTTTATTAATGGTTCTTCTCCAATATTTAATCTTGATCATGATGATTACTTCCATTTTTTAAATATGAAGATGCTCAACCCGCATTTTGTAAAAACTTTTTAAATAAATTTGGGGGATAACAAAAGCAATTAAAAAAACAAATATAACAATAGGCCCAAGAAAATAGCAAAAGATTAGATAGGATTTTAGCCCTGGGATTTTTGAAAAATTCTTTCGCATCATTTCTGGGGAGGGGGTTACATTAAAATTACTTTAGTCAGTCACCTCATTAAAAAATAAAATCTAATCTGTTAAAATACATTATTTTAATCACATTACGAAATTTCTCTCTTCCTTTTCTCCCTTAAGCTTATCATCATTTGCCTTCTTCTGTTTGTTCCATTCATTTCTCTCGTCTT